GCTCCTCGTCCTGCGTCTGTGGTCGGGGCGGGGCGTGGGGGGGGGTCCTCACCCTGCTCCTGGGGGCTGAGAGCCGCATGTGTTCTGCTGTTGGTCCTTTTCCTCAGCTGTCCTGAGCCTGGGCCTGAACAGGAAAATACAGAATTAAAAGCAGTTCAAAAGACAGAATGAGGGAAGGAGTAGGAAGGTGGGAGGCGGGCAGAAAACCTGGCAGCGTCATTTGGACTCTCGAACACACTGCATTTTGAGGAGGAAGGTACAACATGGAAGGTCAGCCTCATGGCCATGTGTGGCAGCTGAGCCCACTGGGATAGCACCTGTGAGTCGAATGCCCCTCAGTGCTTCCAGGCTTCACCTGCTCCCTTATCTGCTTAGGAGTGACCTTTTCCTCAAGTCTGTCTTTGAACCACTTACTCCGTTCTCTTGAAATAAAGGAACCAAAGCCAAGTGATTGGAAACCCACGTGTGGCTCTGCGAGTGACCGTGCCTCCCCGCCCTGTATGTCCACACGGACTTCTTTTCTAAACATCCCCCTGAGACCCCATTCTGAGCTTCTCTTTGCAAATCAGACCTTTCCCTCTGGACTGATGCAGTAATTATGACTGGTTCCTTTATTTGCAGTTATGGGTGTGGTCTCGGTGCATACATGCTCCTATTCAGTCTCTCAGAAATTCGCTGGTCCCTTCAGGTCAGGAACCATAGCCAACGGCCTCAGAGTGTAAGATATACATCCTTCTCTCCCCTCCTTCCTTTCCCCTAAACCAAACAAACAAACAAAAACTCATCTCTTGTAGTACACTCTCAAACAGAACTCTTTTAAGTAAATAAGGTTTAGCACAATTAGAATCAGAGCAGAATTTTTCCTGGTCTTGTTAAATGTTAAGTGGTGTCACGTGCCTCAGTGAAGGGCCCGCTCAGCAGCGACCAACTGCTCATCACCACTGTCTCCAGACCCCCACTTGTCTGAGTCCAGAGTCTCAGGTAAGAGCTGGACGGAACCCTGACTGAGCAGGAGCAGCAGCGCGGGTGGAAAATATCATGTGCTCCGACATGACTCCAGGTGGGCAAATTCAACTACATAAAAATAACGTCAGCATGGCAGAAAAGCAACTTAAAAAAAAAAATAAGTGATCCAAGTGGCAAGAAAACATTTTTTTGAGCCATCACAGATAAAGGGCTGACATCCCCAACAAACAGAGCTCGCAGCAGAGAAGAAGGCAGCTTTGCAAGGACGACGTTGAAGCGCTACTACGGACGTGAGTCCGTTACAGACAGAAACGTGGACGGAAGCTTTCACCCCGCTCACTGATGAAGGAACGCATAAGATGTCACATCTGGTTCAGAGGAGGATTGCAAGATCCCCACATGTTGAGAAAACAAGGAATTTTGAAATGAATATATAAGAAGATGTGAAACAGGTCTGTTCACAGGGCAATAATCAGGTGTGTCCATGGGACAGAGGGAATTAGTATTACCAGTTTTCTACAACTTAAAACCTATAGAGTAGCGCAAAGGCGGTAAAAGGCAGAGAGAACGTGGACAGGTGAGCTGCGCAGGACATCCCACTCTTTTTTGCCCATTTAAAAATCTTGCACAATATTTCCTGAGAAGTTCCACAGCCCAGTAGTTAAAGGAATATAAACAGTTCACAGAAAGAGAAATACAAATGGCTTTCTGAAATATTATTTAAGTGCTGAACCTTACTTACAATAAGAGAAATGCAAATTAAACCCAGTATTTTCTGCTGGGAAAGTGTTGCTGGTGAAAGTGAAAAGTGAAAGTGAAACCGTTTCAGGTGCAAATCCCAGCTGCACTCACCCTGCCCCTCGGCCCCCCTCGACCCCCCTCAGCCAGAAACCTATCCATCTGCAACGCTCGCCCACATGTGAAACAAACCTTTTCGTCGGAACAAAACTTGACTGTTTACAACGCAGAAGACCGGAACAGGCTCAGTGCTGACAGGAACGGAGCTGTGTGCGCCCAGAGGGGGAGGCTGTGTGGCTTTAAAAACAACAACAACATAGATCTCTGAGATAAACCTGGAAAAAACCAAGGTATAGAATACACAGTGTAGCACCTTTTGGATCAGAATGAAGAGAGGGCAGGAGTACAGATTCATAACTGACTTGTACTCACGTAAAGAAACCTAGAACAGACTGGCCAGAGCCAGTATGAACTGTCACCTGCTGCGGGCTCTGGGGAACGGGGGTCAGGGACAAGGTCGGGAGCACGACTTCACAAGGAGCACCTCCTCATGCAGTCCCACATTTGGACCGTGGCAGTGGATTACCTATTCAGAGTGTTCGTTTTTCTGGAAATGGTGGTTTGGGTTTCCCCAGCAGGACAGGCAGGCCACAGTGATCCTCTCCCCTCCTTGGATCAGATCATCACTGACCAGGAGGTCCTGACGACTTCACACATAACGTGCCAGACCATTTCTTGCTTTCTAGCTTTATTTCCCTAACTAGGTTGCTGTCCTCTGCGGTTCTGTGCCTCCTGACACTCGCCGTACCCGTTTAGTGCTTTAAACACCAAGGTGCCCGGAGAGCCACTTGTCCTGACATGGACACAGGAGCTCTCACCCCCATGGCGGGGTCGGCCAGAGGCGGTGAAAGGGGGAAGGGGCTTGCTGTACAAAGTTATCTCCACAGGTCATCCTTTTACATGCTTAAACAAAATATTAGTGTGCTAATACCTGAATATTGGCTTGAACTTTAAACAGACCAAATGGAGGGTTTAATTATTCAGGTTACAAAGGATCCTAGGGCCTCTTTAAATGAATAGTTTCTTCTCAAGTGCTTTTCTGCAGCCCCCGCACTGGCTCCCGGAGCCATGGGGCAGGCGGCACACTTGCACCAGTGTTCTCAATCTGTGAGTCCAGAAACGCTGGTCTCGGTTATGCTGACCTCAGGTAGCCCTCAGTCCACCCTCAACAGCTGGGAGCTACTCTGGACGATGAGGACGTTGAGAATTCATGCTTGTTTTGCACTTGTCAGAGACTCCATAGGCCAGGAACTTCGGGTTCTGTCTTGGAACCTTCTGACGCTCCCCTCCACCCCCACAGGGGACGCCTGCATCATCAGCAGCAAAGCTGGTCTGATGCTGGTCAGGGCAGCGTCACCTGCCCTCACACGGGGGTCTGAGGAAAAGCAGCACAGACACGGGCCAGTGACTCACCAACAGTCAGTCCCTCAGCAAGAGGAGTGGGTGCCTCTGGTCCCTTGCGAACATGCCTCCAGGGAAGGCGGGTGTGGGAGCACCTCCAGTCCATCCATGCCTTGGCATCACACACTCCTTCTCTGTCTGCAGCTGCACAGCTGCCCCTGGACGGCCAGGGCGAGGCCCGAGCCAGTCACTTGGATCTGCTGAAGTGCTGGCTCCGATGACATGCTCCCAAGGTTTAGCTAGAGCAGAAGTGCCAGGATCCATCCATCTAGGTGGCCATCCACCCCGTGGCTCACCACATGTCCCTCCGCCCTATGCTGTCCTGACCTCGCAGTGGCTGATACATGGGACAGGCTCTGCTCTCTGTATTCGGTCATCCTATCACTTACTTCTAATTTCTCCCCCCTTTCTTCTTGTCATCCTTCACCCGCTTTCTGGCATGTCCAGTCATTTGTCAAATGGCAGGGACATTTGGGCCCTGATGTGGGTTATTAGAACTAAAACTTCTGGCCCACAGCCTAAGTGCCAATCAGAACGCACTGGCATCTTCTGTATTAGGAAAGAAAGCACGTTCATCATGTTCCCAGAAACTCCCATCATCTGCCTGTTCTATCACCTTCCTCTCAGGAGGGTTTCGCACTCTGGCCACAGCGGCCCTTGGTGACACGTACCTGTGAGAAGGTCCTCCACTTGGCAAGTGTTTATCAAATGCCTGCTCTGTGCCCAGCACCCAAGCGGGCACAGAGAAAACACGCTCATTTCCCGCAGGGAAGCTAACAGTGAAGAGATGGTTAACACACACGGGTAGCAGGTCAGGAAACAGCAGCATGAGGAAGTCCCCGGAGATGCTGGGAGGGTTAACGAGACACTGAGTGACGATCGACCAGCCAACCAAACCACCACTGATGGTGTCCCAGGAACTCAGCCTTGTGCTGGAAGATGGAGAACGCGGCATCTCAGAAGACCATGCCACACTCGCACCCAGGCACACACACGTGCCCACACCAGGGAGGGGGATGCAGGCCAGCTCTCTCGGGCACCCTGTTTGTGGTCGAGGTTGGGCCCCCAACGGGAGACTTGGGGCCCTTCCTTGCAACAGTTGTAACCTGATGCAGCCAGGCTGGTCCCGATAGCCACCCACTGCTGTGCACTCACCACATTGCACCGGCCAGCATGGGATTGTCTCGACAAAAGCCATGGGTTGGGGGACAAGGGGACTTCTAATGCAGGGACTTAGGTCAAGTCTGGTGATCTGTGTGCAGATTTGAGTGCTATTGACTTTCACATACATAAAACTTATCTCTTACAACCTTTAGGCTGAAGGTCAGTTAACTTGCTACCGCTTTCCAAAGCACAAAGCCATAAGAATTCTCAGATCTTGGGCAAAAGATACAGCTTTTGATGGTCAAATGAACACAGATAACTTGAGTGGGAAGACTTGGCCAGACCCACCTGCCGTGCATGCTGAGGCTGCCTGCACACCGTTCACGGGACGGGACGGGCGTGCACGCCTGACTCGGGTTTACTCTTTGTCCCAAAAGTGAGCCAATAATCTGCACACTTGCAGCAAAGTGTGAACAAATATATTTAGATATATTTAAAAGAATTTTAAAAACATTTCACAAAACATTTGTTGCCATAGGAATTTGTTTTAGCAGTAAATGCCCACATCAAAATTTAAACATTGTTCGACGTATGATTATCCGTACTAAGAAGTAATGCAACAGATTATGTAAACAGTCAGACTCATCTGCCGTTTCCTGGAGGAATCCCTTCCTTCCCAGGACGGAAGCTGGCCCAGACAGTTTGCCAGGGGACCAATCAAGAAACTGCTATTTTCAGAGCAACAAAAATAAAAGCTTTTATTTGTTCATTTGAATATAAAACAGGCGTTATCACAGATGTACAAAGCTTACTGGTGGTTTAACATACGAGAAGGTTGCCGTCCTTCGCACATAAAAATTTTGTTTGAAACTGTGATTGGTTGAGTACATGAATTCTCTAACCAGTCACCACACTCTATGAAATAACGCTGCTAACATTCAACTGATAAAAGGGACGGTTTCCCTGGGGTAAAGTGTCAAGCAGGGTTAAATATATATAATAAACAAGCACCATGAGGAAGCCGCCCTGTTGGGTTAGGTCTGTGTTTCAATGTCCATTGTGTACCCTCCTCCTTTGTGCAAGCTGATCACATGGTTTTGTCTGACTTCAAAAGCACAAGGTCACAAGACAAACATTTGTTACATTCCCATGAGTGATTTATCTACAGTATAATTTCTACTACAGAACGATCCTTCTTTATTGCTGAAACGGTGGTACTTAAGTGTCTCCTTCCCTTGTTCTTGCACAACAGAGCTTTGACCCCAGGCCCCCAACCCTTTGGACCTCAACTCTGACACCAGCGGTGACACTAGCGTGTGCACAGCCTCGCCGCCTAGCCTGGAAAACGGACGCGGGGACGGTGAGGGCCATGTGTGCCGTGACCCCGGGCTCGCTGCTTCCAACCTCAGCTGGAGTCACGAGTTATCCTGCGATTGTGTGTTCTACTCAGGGTGTTACCTGAAACCTTAAACCCCCTTCCCTTAAACAAGGTGGGTGAGTGTGAGAAAATGTCTTTTTTTCTGTGTGTGGTGGGTGGGGTTTTCCCCGAAGGAAGAAGAAGACTGTAGGAATGTGTATCTGAAGCATGTAGAGAAATATTCACAGGTAGCAATGGAGTCAAACAATATTGTAAAAGCCAAATGATTTGTGGTGATGGAAGGTTGCATCCCACATGCAGACAAATTTAAAAAAATATGCCACTTAAATTTTTAAAAAACAATTCGCCTTGGATCTCAGAAGTCAAACAAAACTCTCTTTTAGCGAAGGGCTTACTGCTGGCGCATACAGCAAAGGCAGATAAAGACATCGCCTGGGAGAATGGACAGAGAATCGGAATCTGGCCTAGTGACAGTCTCAGTCATGAACATCCAGCAGTGAGAGCCACCGCGGGGCCATCCTGGGCAACTACCAGGTAAGTCACAGTTGGGGAGCTGACACCTCCTCTTGGCTGGACACAGACGGGCCGATTCATTAAGGAGTGTACAGATGACCCTGGAAATGAGAAGACCTGGGAGGCAGCAGCTAGAGACTAAAATCAGAAACATGTGATCCACAGGTGGCAACGTGAAGGCAGCTGTGAGGCTTTCTCGCTCTAGCCAGTGGCGCTGGGGGGTGATCCCGGGCAGCTTGTGTGGTGTCCCTGTGGGTTTTGCTCACACGGGCTGGGGAACCCCTGAGAGCTGTCCAAAGTGACGATCTCCTTGGTGAGTCTTTTCCCGTAAAGCTGTTTTGAGCACTGTCCACTCCACACAGTGGGCGTCAGGGGGGTATCACCGCAACCGGGTGCCAGTGACCTCAGGAGAGCGTTCCTTTTCATACCAAGGACCAGAAAGGGGTGACGCTAACACAAATGATGAAAAACCTTGTGCAGCGAATTCTTGCAGCTCAGAGAACGGCGCTGTTGGCTGCCTGCCTCCCGAGCGTGCTCAGGGCCGTGAGCTTGTCCTGGTCACGCCGTCCAGTGTCACCCCTGCAGTAAAGGGAACCACAGGCACGGCTCACCTCACATTCCTTCACCGCCTTTGAGATAATTTTCAGTGATTTCACTTGCTGGTTTCTGGTTCTAGAAGAGATGCTTAGACTGGGCTCCTGGCAATCTGATGGCTCCCACCAGCAAAGCGGATGTGAGAGAATCTCTCTGATCTACAGTACAGTGGAGGGGACACCATGCAAGTGACAGGTTCTGCATTTTAAACTTTAAAATCTCCTTTGTTCATTAGTGAATTTATGTTTCATATATATATATTTGTTGTGATACTATCCACGCAAGATAATACAACACTTTTTTTATATTAGCAAACATTACAAGACTTTAATATTCTTGAATGTTTTTCTCTTTTATACTTCTAAAGAGATCAAAATAAATTAAACGTTTTTGTACATAATTACATCTGAAGAAGTTAACTTATTTTATCTTTTTAGTTTAGTACAAAGATATCTGCAAGATAATTGCTGAAATACACCTTATTTATAATTTCTTCTCATTCTATGCTATTGCCGAAGGCCGTGTGTGGGCCTCCGTTTCTTCAGCACATCTCTGACAAAGCTGTGGACGTCTAATCGGAAGGTGCTATTTGGAAGGTTTTCTCGTACCTCAGCAGACTTTCCTAAAAGGATGAGTTCTAGCAATGGCTTAAAGTAGTAACAGGTCCATGTCATTAAGATGTCATGACACATTAAAACAGAAAAAACAATTCTTTGTCAACGCTACATAAATCGTTTAAAAGAACCCATCTGGAGGGCAAATATTTTTTAATTTGCTATTTTGGCTTAACAAAATACCACATTTACGAAGAAAGCACTTATTATCCAATAACTAAAAAAAAAGTTTTGAAATGGGCTTTTCCAACAAACTGAAGGCAGTAATGCGAGGCCCTTCTGCGCAAACCTCGGTGGTCATTCACATCTCCGTTCTCCATGCCAGTCAGGACCGCTGTGGGAAGTCTCCTCCGCTCCACTGTGTGAAACAGGTCACGTTTCGGCGAATGTCGCCCTGCGTCTGCACACTTTAGTGACACTGAGAAAAGCGTTTACATCTCTAGAACAGTCTGCGGGAGCCAGAGACCAGGCTACATGTTGTAGGCCACGTAGATGGGGTCCAGCTGGTCTGCCAAAAACCCGTCTCGCAGGTGCATGCGCTGCTTCTCTCCCCGGGAGTTGATGGGGATGACGCCGATGTCCACCACGACCACCACCCCCACCACCAGGTAGTGTTCCTCCAGGACCACATTGGTCACCAAGGGGACCAGGTCCAAGGCTTCTTGCTCTGACCCATCAAGCTCAACCACAACCACCAACAAATTTGTCCAGGTGAACACAGCACTGGAAGAGAGAAAAAGTCATCACTATACAGCAAGGCTTTTATTTAACGATTGTTTTCAAGAAGTTCTACTGGGTTCTTTTTGAATCTGCCTGAACACCAACAGTCTCTGACATATGGCCTCTCTGAGCCCATGTCCTTTAGCTTATGAACTGTCTCTCGCTCCTGTCGTTAGCCGTTCCCACTAGCCTGTCCTCACGGTGGCTGCTGCTCGTGCTCCATCATCTCTGTACCTGCCGTCTGCCCTCAGCTGCTGCGGAGGCCTGGTGGGCGTAGCAGTGGCTCCTCCCTTCATCTGCACACTATGACCCTAAGGGTGGAGTCTGTGTCCTGCCCTTGACCTTGGGCTACATGCAACTCAGACAGTGAGATGTGAGCAGAGGCTGGAGAGCCCCGGGTGTTTGGGCTGGGCTGACTTGCTTCTGCCACAGCAGAGGGGGACATCTGGGAGGACATGAGCTGCCAGCCTGCACCCAGCTGACCCACAGGCCTGGCCAAGCTGAGGTCAAACAGTTCCACAGGCACCTGCAGACAAGGGGGCACAATAACTGGTTCCTGTTTACGTGACTATAATGCAGCAAGAGCTAACCCGTACAGGGGGTAATTCCCTGACAATGTCAGAGATTCACCCAAAAGCATTTTATTTGGGATCTTCCAAAGGGAGAAGCACCCAGATTGTTTAGTCTGTCCAATTTGTGGAAGCAAAGTCTAGGGATGTATACTTTAAGCTACATTAACCTTATGTGGTTGGGCTTTTACAAAGTGGTTAAGAACCTTCAAATTCATCGTCCTGGTGCCCATGGGCTGCTTGGCTGCAGAGGCCTGGAGGCCTGGAGGGGGCATGAGGAGGATGGCACCAGGCTCCAGGGCCCTGCAGTGGGCAGCTGGTAATTGCTTTTTTATGGGGACACACAGACGGTTCTATCTCAGCTGTGAGGAAGTATTTGGGAAAACTCACTCTTTTCTAAAAGTGAAAGTACGTCTATTAGAAAAAAATATGTATTTTGTTTAGTATGACCAACATACATGTTAAAAGAAAAGGAAAGTGGTAGAGAATGTACGCGACATCTCTCCTCCTGGATCTGCACTGTGACAGTGTAAACCCCTAGAAGGTGTGCTGGCGTCAAATGCACAAAACCCGATCTTTGCAGCAGTAAGACACTGCTCTGCATGGTCCAGGTGAGCCCATGTTGTGAGTTTGTGAAATCACAGATTGTATTTTAATATATAATTGGTATGTTTTTTATATATAGCCAGGTCTAACTGTATTATGACATTTGAAATTGATGACACAGCTCCAGGAGTCAGGTGGATTCCCATATGTAGTGGGAGGGGGGCTTTGCCGGGAAGCTAAGGGCTGGGTGCTGGTCACTTTCGTCCGCCAGCGGTTTCCTGGGGGCTGAACATTTGAAACACAGGGGAAAGCTGATGAGAAGGGAAAGATTTGGTTGGTGGGACAACTTGACAGAGAAGTTGTCACATTACTGACATGGGTGTCACACCCTCCCTTCTCAAACCGGGGGTGTGAGAGGAGTGGCACAGGCAGATGAGGGAAGACTGGGAGGGAGATGGGCAGTGTGTGGTGAATGGTCTCCGGAGGACTGGAGCCCATCAGCATGGAACCGCCCATACTTCTTCCCTTCTGGTGCCACGTGTGGACATAGGTCAGTGGAGGCCAAACCCATCAGGTGAGGCCACATGGCAGGTGACAAGAGCAATGTTTATAAAAGAAACTACAGTCATGGCCTGGAAACCCATGAGGGGCACTCGGTAATAAAGAGTCACAGCTGTGCAGATGGAAACTGAGGCAGGCCTGGCCAGTCTCCGAGGGCCAGCTTGGTGGCAGGGAGAGTGGGATGCACTGTCTGTACCACGGGACCGCACGCAGGTAATCAAATGCTCTCCTGTCTCCCATCTCTTCTACCTGCCCAGGCCTGTGTGTTTGGGCGCAACAAGCGGCAATGAACGCCAGCCTGCAATCAGCTGACAAGAGGCATGAAAAACCTCAGACCAGCCCACCGCACCAGAGAAAAACACCATGAGATTTGGGGTGTGCCTCCCTTGAGGCTCCTGACCTGAGCTGAGCCCAGCCTCATCACATCTGCCAGCTTGGGGACCAAACGAAAGAACAAACCTCTGGCTGATGGTGCTGAGCCACTTTTCTTCCTTAAACACCACATAAAGGCACCGAGTAACCCCAGAACGTGCCTGTGCTGCAGCCCCTGCTACTGAAGAACCATTGACACACCCTTCCATGGCCATAGCCACTGGAAGGGTAAAACCCCAAGGCCCCACCCACAGGAGGGGGCGGGGTCTGGGATGGTGGCGTACAGCAGCTGGTTTCAGTTGAATTCAGGGAATTCTGTCCTCTGATATCTAACATCTTCCCACATGTCACAATAGCTTTTACAGTCTTCGAGTTGGCAGTCACAAAAGTGGTTTCTGTGCCTGTGTATGTATGCAGTCTATTTCCCTCCTACATCACGTTTTTCTGTAAGCTAAAATCTAAATAAAGGAGCACTCAGGCTCCTCCTGGGAGATGCTACCTGGCCATCTGCATGTCATTCCCTGGAAATGTGCGACACACAGGCTTGACCCGCCATGGTATTAACCCCTAGAGGTACAGGTTTAGGCTCCGAAACTCGGACTGGACCCCACTGTTCCCAGAGCTGCACAGATTTTGTCCCTGCTCACCACTCTGTGACGCTCTTGTGGGCTCGAATGACAGAAGTCTCGATGTCTATGGGGTGGTACCGCATCCCACGCAGCTCCATGGCCTCGTCCAGGGCTCCCACCACGTACAGTGCATCATGGCGCTCTGTGGAGGGAACAGAATATGTGTGTGAGTCACCAAAAAACCATTCAAGCCACGGACTCCTGAATGAGAAAGAGATGCGGAGAAAAGGGGTCACTGAGCCTGGCACAGCTGTTTCCTCTGCTCGGAGAGCTTGCAGCCTTAGGCCTCGGGGAAACCCCGGGGCAGGAACGCTGGTCCCAGGAGGCAACATTCCTTACCAGGCTTTGGGCCTGCAGAGCGCATTCCCCGGGGCAGCTCCATCCCCCCATCGCACACTGTCACAGGTTCCTCAGCGGCCCCTTGGCACCACCTGGGTCCTGGGCCGGCAGGGCACCTGCCTTTATCCACACCGTGCGCTCCCAAGTGGCCTGGTTAGGACATGGCTCAGCAGAGGTAAACCCAGTTCCCTCTGACGGGTCTCAGAATCAAGACCTCATAGGAGGTCTTAATTTTGTTGTTATGCCACATATGGGTTTCTGATCCTGTTCAGGAACAAAGATTTCCTTAGCTCCTGTGACCATCACATTTCCTCTCATCAGTCCTGCAAACTTTGGGACATGGACAACCTGAAGTTGGCTCATCTTCCCTTAAAAATAAGAGAAGCCTTTAACCTTCAGGTAGTAAGAACATCAGGGTGACACTGAGGACATGATCCATGTATAAAACACCAGAACATAGATCCCATTTAAGTCAGATGAAATGGAGACATTTACTTGCAGCTTCTGAGCAGGACTGCGTGGCTGCATGGTGGGGGTGGGGCCAGGCAGTGGGGGTCAGGGGAGTGGCTCCTGCTGCTCAGGACCCCGCCCCCTTCCCACAGGACCAGACCTGCCGTGTCTCCTGGGAGGTCTGGATCACCACGGCTCCAAATCTCTAAGCTGAGCTCTCCTCAAGTTTAAATGTGATGCCAGAATGTTTTTGTACCTTTCCCCTCAAGTTATGCTGGTTTGGTCAGGTTAGTGTAGCTCCTGCCAGGCAGCTGTGTCTGGAAGCTTCAGTGATACCTAGAAACTCCTGTCCTGAGTGTGGGAACCCTAAAGTCCAGACAGGTTTCAGTGTTTGGGGGAGCCGGCCCTTCGCCCACCCCTCTGGACTCTCACCTCCATTTGCGTCTGTGAGCTCAGTTCTCCGCAGGAACCCCAAATAGCCTGTTCGAGCCCAGATGGTCTGGGTGTCTCCAAAACTTAATCTGGAGCTAAAATGATCTGACTGGAGGGACTCGTCTCCATAAATAGTGAAGTAACCACTGGCGTTGTGGGCGCTGTGTACCCAGATCTGTGAGAGAAAACACGATTTGATAAGTCGATCTGAGGAAATCTCCAGGGCCATCGGAAGTGTCCTCGGACTGAAGAACCAGGACGATGTTGACCTCTGTCTGGTCTCTGGGGAGACATGGGTGCCACAGAGCTCACTGATGCAATGCGTCGTGGCAAGTCTGCAGCTCAGCGAACAGCTGTACCATCTGCCCATCGAGAAGCCTATTAAAGTAGGTTGATTGAGGATTTTTAAAATAAGTACATCAAAAGAGCAAAGTTGTACCAGTTCCCTTCTACTTATTCAAATTTAATGTTTGTCTCCAAAAAGCAATCTGGAAAAATGTTAAAAAGTCTTATATTTTTTCCCTGTCACCTAGTTTGCATACTGTTGGAAATATATTGCAGTGCAACAGCACAAAACGAAACAAACTCTAGGAGGGAAAGCTCTAACGTCAAAAGCCGGGAACCAAAACAGCCGAGTGGGAGCCATTCTGGAAAATGGGGAAAGCGATGTGTTGGTTCAGCGCGATGACCACGCAGGTCGTGTAGAATCACGGCAAATGCTAGAGGAAATTGTCACGTCAGGGAAGTTCCTAAAACGTTCACACAACCGTATGCTATCATGTCTGTACAATGGAAAGAATCGGAGGAATCAGGGTGTTAATAGGAAAGACATTTGGGCTTGGATGGTTCCATTATCTTGTTTGCACTGAGACGTAGCAAGTTCCTTGAAGTCAGAGATGCAGGCGCATTTACACTGTCTCCTCAGCTCCCAGGACAGGGGCTGGCACGGCGGGCACGTGAGTGGCCGTGACTGGCTGAACAGAGACGGGAGGGACGCCGTCTGATGCGGGCAGAGGAAACTGTACTCTGCTCTCCAATGAGATTTCCCCTGAAGACACATTCCCACTAAGGAAATCAGAATGGTGCAGGTTCTTTCTGCCCCAGTACGCTGTTGTCACGCCCAAGCCAAGGCCACATGGAGGCAGGGGAAGGCAGCAGCAGAGAACCCCTCCAGGTGCTGGAAACCGCAGCCTCTACCACCCAATTTCATTTCCACAAATGCAGTTGAAGGAACTCCCTAAATAACAGCTGTGCAGCATAGTCACCTCATTTCTAATCCTTACCTATGACTGAGGTTTGGTGGGGCGGGGGGGGGGGGGCCGGAGGGGGGGGCAAAAAGCAGCCTGAGAGGGATTCTGAGAGTGAGCCTTGGCTAGGACTCACCATGACCACTTATTTGCTCATTTGCCGCCTGTGGCTGTGGCACTGTGTGCTACTCCAGGAGCAGTGGCAGCAGTGACGTTTTATTAAGACCTTAGTTGTGGCAGCAGGTCAGTGTGTGGCTGGAGCATGTCTACAAGGAGGGACAGCTGATGGTCCCGGGCACTGACACCTGTGGCGGGGACATCCCTGCTGGGTGGGCGGTCTGACTGGTGCCCGAAGCGGGCTTGGCCTTGCAGAGGGGACCGGAAGGAAGGGAGCACATCTGTGTGGTGCAAGGAGGCCCTTTCCCGACGCCCCTGACTTATTCCCTGGAAGAAACTTGTCACGAGCAAAGTACAACGTGTCACACTGACTTCCTGACAGAAGGAAACCGCTGTCATTGGTCTGACCATCTTGCTGGCATTGGTAGACACTTATGATTCTAGATTGTAGATGACGCCTTCTGTACATTTCTCTGTCACTTTCCTAACAAAGGCAGACACTCGGAAAACAAATGCAAGAGCTAAGAAAAGAGGGAACACGATCCACACAGTTTTCTCTGTTCTGTTTTTTGATGAGAACCTAACCTAGTTCCTTAAGTAGGATTACCCCATTTGGTAATCCTGAGCTTTCATGGACTCATTTAAGCAGTTAACGCTTATCTCAAGTTATTTCCCAGCCAGTCAGTTGTGACTTCTCCAATTGACCAGAATGTGCACGGTGGTCAGTGGCACAGGTGCCGTGGTCACTGGTGTCCCTGGGAGCAGGCAGTACGTAGCAGAAAGAATTTGGTCTCAGAGGCTTCATCTCTAGGAGGACACCCCACACTCACCTCGCCCAGGTGTGAGTCTCCCAACGGTCCTTTTGTTTCTGGATTGGCAATTATGATCCGAACCCCTGGAAGTATCTATGTAGGAAGGAAGAACATCTTTGTCAGTAAACAGGTAGAGACTATGCACCCATCAACCTTGATCTTGCCTTCATTCCATAGGCTCGTTTTCCTTTCTAAAATCATTTGGAAAGTGATATAGCTTTAAATCAAATTATGTACCATAGCATTATGTAATGGCAGTGTAACAGCTGCATTCCACTGTAATGACTACAATCACACAGCCTGTGTAAAAGTGACCTGAAAAGTAAGAATTCAAACAAAAGCATGATAAAGAATATAATCTAACACAGCCTGATGCTTGCAAATGTAGACAAAAATGTGCTTCTCTGGAGTGTAGCCACACAAGGTGATCTGATCATAAATTCCTACATGGGCGGATCTTGCTGGGTAGTCAGGGCCCAGGCCTGTAACTTCCTCAGGAAGAGGTTCGTCTTTGCCTTAAGCAAGCCCTGTCCACTGTTCTTGTGCATCTAGGTTAGCGTACCTGTGAAATAAGCGTAACTACCCTGTTTCTCCTGCTGCTGCTGAAATGTAGAAATGGTGGCTGGAGTTGCAGCAGCCACTAGAGGCCCTGAGGTGCCCTGGGCACACAGTCCATGGAGGGCACAACGAGACAAAAGTGCTGGGGCTCCTAGGAGCTTCATGGCTTCTTTCACATGAGAGAGAGAAAACAGAGCTCATTGAAAGCACTGTTATTTCGAGTTTCTGTACTCATGGTCAAACCTAGTCCTGATATGCTACATTCAAGAAAACTTTTTGGAGAAAAAAAATTCTATGAAATATATTCCTTAAAATTTCAAAGCCCATATACATATACACATACTTATGTAGAAATGCCTATTTCTTCCTTTAATACTTACTTTTCCTGATTCCATAAGTGGCAAGCTGTGAGGGGACCCTCTTTCCACTAAGCGGACTCTACAAGGAGAAACAGAAGGTGTTACTGGGTTTCTTCTGTACTATAGTTCCCTTTGTCCGCTTTCAGTGCTTGGCCAAAGCCTGGGAGGTAGCTGGGGAACATTGACTCTGTTCATCCACTGCAAAAACAGTTCATCTAGAAGCCAAAGGAAACGTGGCCCCACAGCAGAGAGCCGCTGCGCTCTGGTTCCTGGTCGCAGAGAGCACAGGTGAAGTCCCATTCCCCCAACCTGCAACATAATTGGGGGAATGGTTCTGCATTAAGCCAGCGTCAACTCAGCACATACAGAAAAGGAAAAAAATAAGGATTAACTGCATCCCTGAAAGAGCTACCAACTCCCAGTGACAGCTTAGTCCTGAGGCCCTCACAGCTCTGCCACGACAGGCCACGGGCAGGGCCCAGGCTTGCACCGGCACAGAACCCACCGTCTACACAGGGGGCATCTGAGCCAAGAGGGCAGGACCGGCCAGTTCAGACAGCAAAATCTATCTTCAGAAGAGAAACTCTTTTCAATGTAAAAGATGTTTAACGGTAATGTAATCTGAAGACCTTCAGAGGACTGCGGCAGTGGTCACAACCAGAGCTAAGTCCTTCCCAGCTGTTTTTTTTAATGTTTTATAGTCCCCATGACTAGTTTTATGTTTCTATCATGTTACTGGCCTGACTGCGATGCTGTTCATTAATCTGAAAGACAATTCTGAAAGAAAATGAAGTGAAGGAGAAAGTGCTTGACTCCTTGAAGACTACAGAGCAGACGCCGTTAGCAGGAGGTTGGGGCACAGGGATGTGGATGGTGAGGGGCTTTCTCTGCACTAGCACTGAGATGTGAAATTCAGCACAGGAACCATTCTCCGCATTAGCGTAAGATCCTCCTCCTAAGTGCTAAATGCTGAAAAGAGGAAAGTGTGTGTGGAGGGGCCTGGGGTGGGGGCAGGCAACAAAGGAAGACCCTGAAAGTCACAGGTGGCACATGGGGCACCTTGAAGCCTCACCGATACCCAAGAGGCGAGGTTTGGAGTGTGTGGATGACATTATTAGCATGAGGCAGACAGACAGGGCAGCGCTGGGGCGCTTGGTCGGGCAGATGTCCTGGGGCAGCAGGCTTTGATCCAGGGCTCCAAGGGCTCAGCTCCGGAAAAGTGCTTATTCAGGGAAAGGCAGCCTGACCCCACCCAGCCTTTAATGTGGCATCTCCTGTTGCTGGAGACAAAAGTGGCTGCCCCAGGGTGAGTCGCTGTGGCTGGGGGGCAGACCTGGCAGGACTGACATCTTCAGCAGGGGAATGGAGAGGAAATCCTGGAGAGGGAGGGGGCGCACCTGAGCAGCGGTGGCAGTGACTGGATGAGGTACAAAGAACTGACTGGAGCAGTTCTGGACCAGAGGGTAACACTAATGAAACCTTCGGTGCCTGTCCTAAGGAAGACCTTGAGGCTGAGAGTAGGAGATAAGGGCTATCAAAGAAAAACCACCTAGCTTGTACATTCCACTTAAACTGTTCCAGAATTGCAAATAGGCTTAATGATGTAACCTTCGAAAATACAGCAAGTCTCCTCACTGAACATCACCAGTGGCATGGTGTACAAGGAAACCTGTCTCACTACAGGAGTAAGGGTACAAACAAGAGTTAAGTTTCTACAGCATCTCATCAATGTTGTCAAGAAATGGCGTTGAATGAAACAGCCCTGATGTTACCAGCTGCACTAACACAGAATTAACAGAGTCCAGAACTCTTTTAGTACCTGGTGGCATTATGCTAATTTTGGGTGGGCACTGTGAAAAATTACCATGAGAGCACCAGGTAGGACCCACGGAACTTCAGCTGGTAGCAGCACACACTCGCAACCGGCACTGTCGGCTAGCTGCGGGGCCTGCAGGAAACATCAGGGCAGTCACTGACTACTAAAGCCGGCGGCCCAGAAGGCCTGGCTGTCACGCTGAACTGAAACTGGGCTGGTTCTAGCATTCCGGTTCCATGAAGAGCCCGCATCCGATGACTGGGTGGCCAACTGTGGGTTCTGAATATTGGTGATTTGCTGCAGATGGAGAAAATGGCAGGGGAATGGGGCCAAACTGGCTGGGAAAACTATGAGCGAATGGGTGAGGAAAGAGGGACAGCATGAAAGGGAAAGGGCAAAGGGCCAGAGAGAATGGCTGGCTAACACCGCTCCCACTGGTGGACAGTCCGGCCTCTGTGCAGTGGGGCTGCTGTACGAGCAGGGGCAGCTGGCCAGAGGCTGCGCTGGACGTCTTACAGAGTGCAGGTGACTGGGCCAGGGAGAAAAACTCAGCCAAAAGTGAAGGCTTTTTTGGACAAGCTTCTGCTCTGCCAGCTGTCTGCGTACAGCCACTGTAGGGTATGAGAAACCTCGGGCAGGCATTTTGGACTTGGCAGGCAGCTCTGGAAGCAGCACTGTGACCAGCAAGGGGACCTGGTTTAACAAGGCTGCTCAAGACAATGTCCCTGGACTTCATAATTAGTGCCAAGGACACCAGCAGCTATTCCTTCTCTCCCCTTCCCCCTGACAGGTTTCTGCCTGGCCTGCACCTGGCCCACAGGGAGAATGAGACAAAGGCCCAGTTCTCCTTCAGGGAGTGGGGCTCCTGGCCATGTCTGTCTCCTCTGCCCTCTCTCTGCCTTCAGAGTTCATCTCATTTCATCTCCTGTCCTTCCCTGTACATCCCATGGTCTCTGAGAAGGGAAGAGAGATGGCATCTCAGCCGGGGGCTCAGCTGGAATGTGGACAAGAGGAGACCTATGTTGAGGCTACTTCTGTGGTCAGTGTGAAAACAGTGTCAGAATGGATGCTGGGACCACTTGGGGTTGGTCCTGAGTGGAAGAGCTACAGATCCTGGTAGCAAATGCCACATGGACTGCCCTTCAGCCACATGGAAAGAAACAGAGCAAAAAAGGAAACATCTCTTATAGAAAAAGGCAAAGATGTGTCTCCTAAAAAGGCTAGGAGGGGCATGGCAGCACGCAAGGACAGGGTGGCCTGGGTGAAGCTCTGCTCATCCTCTGACCTCCTCAGGCTGGGAGACCACGGGCTGCTGGCAAGTCCAAGGAGCTTCAAACACAAAGAGCTTCCACGGTGCCCCGGCCAGGTGAGCTGGGAGGGAGTGAGGTGCTGCCATAGCACTGCTTGTTCCCAGCAGTGTGCGAGCTTAGAACAAAGCTGCCTGAACAGGCGGAGGCTGCAGAGGCAGGCTGCCTGCGGCCGGGCCAGAGTGTGAGGACAGAAGGGGCTGCTCCGAGGAGGGAGAGGAACAGACAGGGGACTGATGCAAAGGCCACTCTGCACTTGTCAGTGAGTAGGCGTGGCTCCATCCTGCAGTGAAGGCAACCTGAACTGCCGAATGGGCTCAAGCAAAGTACTGAAAGAAACCTTGTCTTCAGAGCAGTTACAACCAAGACAGCCAACAACAGAGACCCAGGGCTGGCCCAGGGGGCTCCAGGAGGAGGCGGGCCCCTCCCTGGGTTGGAGTCAGGGTCACTCGGTGCACTTGCTTCTCCAGGCAGTCTCCTACTTGCTGTGCTGGCATCTGAATGATGCCTCAGGCCTGGCCCTGTCTCACCCTCATCCATGATGTTTTAAACTCAGCTACAAACCCTGAACATCAGAAAACACATTTTTCCCCATGGGCTGTTGTGTGGACTTGATGTTCGGCCTTTTGCTAGACTGAACAGGGAGATGGAAAGTTGGCATGGAGGAGATGTGCCATTCGCTATAGAGCCCCTCACTGTGTTGTTGTCCCTGAACTGCTCCCTACCCCGACCTGAATTTCACCTTGAAAGGCTGTGGCCAGCATAGCAACATGAGGGGGTGTGGAGCCTGGGCCACTATAGCAAGAGGTCTTTCTACAAGGGTTTCCTTTGCCATCAGCACTCCTCTGGCCTCACAGGGAAGGGGGGTGGTGCACCACTGTCTCACCTCATCTCCAGTACCCAACCCCCACCCGTTCACTAGGACTCTCACTGAAAGGAGACTAGTGCTTTCGCCCTCTGAGGAGGGGCCCATTTTCTAACACTGCCCGTGTAGCCTGGTACCACCCACTGGCAGAGCGTCCACCATGCCACTGGTTCTGGAGACATGTGACAATCGAGAATCACACTATGTGCCCCAATGGGAGTGCTGGCATTCCCACAGCTGCTGCCAGGGCCAGTCACTTCAGAATCATAGACAACAAGCCCTGTGTGGGCACATCCCGGTGGATATGGTCAGGAGGGCAAGGGGTGCCTGTCCCTGCTGGCCGTGTTGCTGCCCAGCCATGGGTGCCCCGTGGTCTCTCCTGACCCGAGGACTAGCACCATCTGTGCCTTCAGTTGCCACAGCCCACACAGTTACGCCGGATACAGACTTGGCAGCGCACCAGGGCAGGAGGGGACAGGACCCAGAACAATTTGCTTGGGCAAAATAAGGCCCAGCACACCAAAAACTAGAGAACCAGCCGAGATTTTTAACTAAACATGAAACTACACCTTCCAAAAATAACTTGAGGTATTTAAAAGACCCAATAAAATATAATAAGACCATTTGAACAAGTTTTTTAGAATCCCAGAAGATGAGATGCTTTTGAATATTCAAAAAACGTAGGTTAGGCCCTGACCAGTGTAGCTTGGTTGGGCGTCACCTGCAAAGGGGAGGGTCACCAGTTTGATATCTGGTTAGGGCACCTGCCTATACTGTAGGTTTGGTCCCCGGTTGGGGCACATGAGGAAGGCAGCCAACCGATGTTTCTCTCTCACATTTATGTTTCTCTCCCTGTCTTTCTCTCTCCCTCCCCCTCTCTCTACAAATAAATAAAATCTTTAACAAAAAGTGTACTTAAAGTAGGTTCTGTGACTGGATTTAGTGACTGCTCAGCTTCCTGGCCACTAAGACAAAGAGAATTAGATTTTACTGTCAAAGTTTGGATTTTAACATCTTGCTATTTCCTTTGCTGATCATTAGAAGCACAAGACAGAAAATCAGTACTTAAGTAAAACAGACGCCATACTTGC